CCCCCCCCCCCCCCCCCCCCCCCCCCCCCCCCCCCACACACCCACCGACACACCCACACCCACACCCACACCCTCATGTAAAGCTAATACTATAGGGAAAACTTATTAAAGCCTGGAAATATTGCAAAACGTCAAACAAATACGAAGAAACACGGAGAAATACAAAGAAGTACAGAAAAGCACATCAATATTCTTGTTTCTCTTGTGTTTGACTCATATAAAATAAACACGAGATTTTTAAGAAAACTTAACAATACATTTAACATACATTCTAAGATATCATCAAATAATTTTCAACCTGAGTACAGACAGGAAGACGAAAGCCATATACTGTCCCAATAGTGGTCTTTGGAAAACAAAAGTTTACCAGAGACCTTCAAACGTTGTTCCAATTTTTTTATCGAACACATGTCGGCTTATTTTTGATGCTCTATCTCTGGTTAAAAATTCCGTCGAAACAAGTGTACCTCCACTGAGAACTATGTAGAAAAGATCAAAGAATAGGGGAATGTATTTTGAAGAATTCTTGTGACAGATAGAGATTTGTCTTTGTTTTTACCGGCTAAGACTCTCATGAGAATACTAAACGAAATCTTAGTTTCACTTTTATAATTAGTGAGAATAAAGAAGACAAAAGTGGCGAGACTTTTAGATAAATACTGGAAGACACTCAAAGAAATAATCTCTCTTTAACCATTCTTGTCTGTCATTATTTTAGACTCGCGCTCGTTCAGGTTTTAGTGGTGATAAAATTCTTAATCGTGTTATTGCTCGTAATTATGACTATACATGGAAACCAGCATTACAAGCATTGAAATTGCACGCAAGTGATCTTGCTCCTGAGTATAATTACGATTATAGACCATCCCATGTACCTAGTGAGCTTAAACGTGGTGGTCATACTTACTATTTACCTCGTGGTTGGTATCGTCATGCTCTTCGCGTTCTACACAAGTATGAAAAGAATCCGAAATGGCTGGATCAGACCAATACGGCAGGTGAATGGCCAGTAGCTTATCATGGAACAAAGGCTTGGGCAGTATCAAGTATTGTTCAACAAGGTTTAATGACCAGTGCCGTCAAAGTTGATGCGATGCGGCCAGAAGCCATCCAACAGATGGGAGAAGAAGCGAATCGTCCTGGTTTATATGTAGCCACACACTGTGATGGTGGAGCAAAAATCTATACGGAACCATTCACAGTTACTCCATATCCAGATAAAACTGAAAGTTTCCGTATAGTATTTCAATGTCGCGTAAAGCCTGAGAAATTTACAGTTCATAAAAGTCCAGTGATCGATGGTAATGCATGGCGTTATGTTGATCCAAGTTCCATACGTCCCTATGGCATTTTGCTGAAGAAAGAAGACTAATTTCAAGCAAATTTATGAACTGAGTGTCAAAATCGTTCATGGTGTCTTTTTAATAATGATATTTCTTGCTCGATTCTTCTATTAGCTTAGATTTTAGTTTCGGTCATTTCTCGCTTTGTAAACAACATTATATTATAGAAAAATCTACTAATTTACGTACAAAAAGGCGTTTTCAAAAACTATCTTAGTTTTTGAGATACTTCTGAAACAGATCTGATCTAAATGAAGATGAACCAATGGGAATATTTAGATTTAATCTTACTTTCATAAAAGATGAAAATAGTTCTTGCGCATTGGGTACGAATACGAGTGGGTGTTGGGTATGAGTATGATTCATTTCTATTCATAAATATTCGCATCCACATCGACAGCTTTTGCATGACCCAAGCATAGGGACTTTCATAATTCAGTGTCTGTACATAAGAGACTGCTAAAATAAGAAGATGATTAAAAGAATGCAACTAGTCCGAGATAATTATGCTAGATGACAGCTTTATATCCATATGCTTCTGCAGAAATAATTTTTGAACTTCTAACTATAACTACAGAGTGATGATTTGAAATTCGATATTTTTCAGAAACTATCTATTTAGAAGAGTAGGTGTAAAATTATTATCTAAAACAACTATTCACAACTAATCGAAATCTTTTGAAAATCATATTATTTTAAAAGTTATCTATATGTTGATACTAAGTTATGGCAATAGAATCGTTCAACCATGAATATCAGTTTGTAAGTAATAATGGATCTATTTGCGACTCAATACCTAAACATAAGTCATTAACTAAAAATATCTCTCCTTACTGTTATAACTATAAACTCATTTGTATTTCCATCTTAATTAATGAATGTTATCGATCATTATCTTGATGGCTATGAAATATAGAAAGCATTTTCGAATCTCAATCATTATTTTCAATAACTTCTCAACTCTTCATCTCTTTTTTTTAAATTGAATTCACTAATCCAACAAATGGAGCATTTATAAATAACTATAACTTCTTTGGGTGGGTGTGGGTGGATGTGGGTGGGGGTAGGTGTGGGTGTGGGGTGTGGGTGTGGGTGTGGGGTGTGGGGTGTGGGGTGTGGGGTGTGGGGTGTGGGTGTGGATGTAGATAAAGAGACAGTAAACGCCTACACCCACACTCCACCCACATCCACACCCACACCCACCCACACGCACACCCGCCCACCCACCCACACTCGCACACCCGCCCACCCACCCACACTCGCACACCCGCCCACCCACACCCACACACCCACACCCTTCGAACATCTTCCAACTGTTTTAGCGCATTGGTATAGTACGATTTTAAAAGATCAATTAATGGTTGTCGACTGATCGTCATTTTCCTTGTTGCTGTTAACTAGTAAGTAAATGAATCGTAAATACCAAACTGTATGCGTTGAATGTTTTATTTGATTGTTCAAATAGTTTATCTGAGTTATACATCACAGCTTTAATCTAAAATAATTCATAAGCGACCAAATACTGATGTCTGTCAATGCCCTACCTTTTTATAGTCATTTGTCCATTGAGATGCTTTAGACCTTATATGTATACTTAATGACTACCTCACATAATTCTATAGAAACAATAAATATAATAAAATCAGAGTCATTTTGTTGAATATAATTCTTGATATTGTCTTCATTATCAAATATTGTTATATTATCAACTAATTTTTTTAAGTTTAATTTGCAATTCAATTAACGAGGCTAAATCTTGACTGAAAATAACTACTGAATATATTTCAAGATTTTTAGTTTGTCTTAATGACTGTTGTTTGTTATTTATTGATAAATCTTAATTGATACTGTTCATTCTGAACCTAAAAAAAAACATATTGCCTACGAATTTTGAACAACTATACTTTATCAAAATAAATATTGGAGTTTTATTATAACGTGTACAAGCAGAAAATAAAATAAAAGGCAAGCATAATGAAACACTTTCATCTTGTCAACAGTTGCATCGTCATTGAAAATGAGAAAGAGAGTGTCAATCTCTCTTCATCGGAAGAAAACACTGCGTTCAAACATTGACGAAACCAATACAGATACATTCAATATTTTTCCATTTACATAAAGAAATTCAATCGTCAATCTATATATATATAATGTTCAGTGTGTGTCTGTCTGTGTATGTGTCTGTACCGGGTCAATGGTTAAAGGTTCAAGGTCAAGAGTTAATGGTCAAATAGGACTATAAAGGGAAGGCGCCTATGGCTATTATATGGAGGTATCCATAGGTCCTTAAAAGGACTATTATATGAGGGTGGGTATCCATAGGCTCTGAAGGGCTGTTATGTGAGGGCAACCATGGATTCTCAAGGGCCGTCTTATAGAGTACCCGTAGGCCCCGAAGGGTGTAAGACAATAAAGGGATAAAGCTACAAGAGATATAAGGCTACACGGACTATAAAAATATGTACGATATAAGAGTATGAGGCCGTAAGGCTTCGATCTATACATAATATCTCGTATTTGTATGTCTGTTATCGGATGAAAAGTTAAACGTCTGAACTCATACGTTAAAGGAGAAACCAGCCGTGCAGTATGCACGGGTTCTCGCTAGTCTTTCGTGCTGTAACGGTGTCATTCATTGAGCTACTTCAAACTTGATGAAATAACGCTTTTTCACTCCTGTAGTGTTGTTAAATTATTATTTTAAACTGATTGAAACAAATGAAAACTTCAAGTGTTTGTTACAGCAAAACAACATTGTTTATTTATTACAATTTCAAAAACAAAATCTTCAATTGTAATATGACTAAATTAAAATGACTTCTGATTAGTTGTACCTTTGATAATTTAATCTGATAAAAACGATCTGTAGACAATTTTCATAGCCGCATAATTTAAAACATATGTTATACATTTTTTATTGTAAAAAGAACAGGAATATAATTGAAAAAATAATGTTATATTTCATATTCTTTGCAGGAAATAAGGAGACTGAAAACTGTCTTGTCTGACACTATTACTTTCATTTGCCAATTGCTTCCGGTACCGGCAATTTTCAATAGTTATACAGAGCCCTTTGATCAAGAATGAAACAAGTGATTTAAATTAGTTGAAAATCAAAATTAAATCACATAAATAACCTTAAATCATTGTAAATTATTTAAATCATCTTAAATCATTTAAATCACCTTAAATCATTTCAACTCTCAATGGAACCGTCTGTATTGATACATGAGTTGACTGATCATATTCAACTCAAATTATCATTCTCACCACCAAATTAATAAATTTAAAATATTACGTGCCCATAGTAATCATAGACCAAGATATTCAATTTTTAAGATACTCACCATTTTGGTATAGGAACATCATTATATGAAAACTAGTTGTATTCAATTTTTTTATACAAGCATTAGGTTTTGGGGCAAGTAAGTTTTTCTAAGGTTGTGTTGATAAGAAATTGTCAACTTTTCCCCTAGTATGCTGTTAGTAAATTTTCAGAAGAAGCTGAACCTAATGTTATCGATATATTCCAACAAGATTAAAAAAAACTTACTTGCCCCAAAACTCAATGCTTGTATAAAAAAATTGAATATAACTAATTTTCATATAATGATGTTCCTATACCAACATGGTGAATATCTTAAAAATTGAATATCTCGGCCTATGATTACTATGAGCACGTAATATTTTAAATTTGTTAACTTGGTGGTGAGAACGATAATTTGACTTGAATATGATTAGTCAACTCACGTACCAGTACAGATGGTTCTATTGTGAGTGAATGTGCAGAAAAGAGAATCTAAAACTATTACTCATACACGATGTCACATCAATATAATATTTATCTATGCAAATCTTTGACATATTCTTGTGTACTGAGTCGATATTCCAACAATGACTTCATCAATAGTCTGAATAAGCTAAACACAAATACTGTAAATTTCAACTATGTTTTCCATGAAAGACAGTAATCGAAAATAAGTCTAACTGCTCATTTATGAGAGAAATATTTACACTATATTCAATAATACAAAATCATTTTAAATCAAAAATCATTGTTTCCCTCCTTGCCTTTGATAATAAGAAAGATTACCGTGGTTCAGTCCTTTGTTTCTCGACTAAGACTTTATATGACAGAAATACCACTGTTTGACTTCGGTTTTCGCTTATATGAAAGAACTGTATTTGTAAAATTGAAAATAGTGTATTTCATCCGCTCCATAAGAAAACTTCTTCAAGAACTAAAATTATATTTTTTCTCATCTTTTTTTTCAAAACAATGTCTGATAAAAAGAAAATGTTCTGCTCGACTCAGCACTTCCAATCTATATTGTTCTTCGTTTTCGTGTTGTAGCGTCTAATACAAAACAGTGAAGTCAAAAATGTGATCTTGTGAAAAAAAGACCTTGGCATATATAAAATCTTATAGTTACACATAAGGCATAGCAATGAAAATGATGACTGTTAGTTTATTCTCATCAGTTTCTCATCTTGATAACAGAGTCTATAAGTCATTTTGTGTTGATATAGCAACTGCAATATTTATTCATCTGCATTGATACAGTTTTTATAATATCTTCTATCATTCATATTAAGACACTTTTACAACACTTGATTATATTCAAAAATATTATTAAATCAGCTTCATGATTATCAGTAATAATAATTAATAAAATTCGTCATTCATAGTTTCATCCTGATCGATCTAGTTCTGTTCACCAATTATTAGAAGTTGTTAGAATATAT